TGAACCTCGCGCGGCAACAAAGTTATGTAACCCTGTCACATCGGCGCAGCGCGAAGCCGCTCCACGTCTGCCTGCGTAAGGCTATTCCGACTGACAGTAGTGTTAGCAGAACCGATCAGCCAATGTAGCCTGCAGTATGCTTACCAATAGCCGCAATGTGGAACAGAGGTAGCGAAAGAGAGCCATTTCTGAAAGCACGGTAGATGATAGTCGGTGCCGCAAGCAATGCATCGGGCCAACGGTCCCACGCTGCCGAGCGCATCCTGACACACGGGACAATCTTCCCGCTCATCGACATCCTTGACGTCTCTTGGGCTTGCAAGATGTCTCTCAATTCCAAACGTATGTATCTGGCGAACAGCGGGGGCCGTTTCGGGTTGGCGTTGTCCTGACTGTGGTATGGTGCTACCACGCTGGAAATCCTGGATCCGAGGGCTTCGACGCAGAGAGCGGGGGGTTAATGGCCCTGATTCTTAGGTGGAAAGAGATGAAGGTATTGGTGCAGATGCAATGACAGGTCGCTGGCCCGTCCCGCATTCGATTCGACCTACAGGCCGCGGGAGCACCTCCGAGTCACCTGGGCAGGATGGATCGAGAGAAACCGATAAGGAAGCTTGCTGATCTGTGATTCGTTTACTTCTTCGCAAAGGCTGTGTAATCCCCCTCTCTCCTTGTGGGAGGAGCTGATGGCGTGATCCCTGTATTTCTGTGGGAAGAGTATGGGGCCGGTGATTCGGACACCGTGAACCACTTCCTCTAGTTACTCCAGCGGAATCTTGTGCCGTACGCGTAGAGTTTTTGTTGTGTTTGATGGCTCGCGACGGAGCATGGCCCGTCTGCTGGGTGAGGTGGCTCGAATATCTCCCCTAGAATCCAGCTGCGGCCGCACTGACATCTTCTTTACGTTGTCCGACGTAGAGTTAAGGCGGGCTGCCGACACTAGAGAACAGTTATCATAGCTCGTGGTCTCCAGCTCTTCCAGAGTCGTGATGACCATCGTCACGACGATAGGCTTGACAGGGAATTTGCCTCCCGGACGATGCCACCCATTACAGAAGTAGAGAGTCGCCAGTTCGTCCCTGCCGTCCCCTTGGTGTGAGACCTTCAAAGCTGAAATGAGGTCTTCCCTTCTCATCTTGTCCGCTTTTGAGATCTTTCTTTGGCAGCAACGATTCTGGTTCTCTATCCATGCGGAATAGCGGCCAGAATCATCGTTCAATGTGTCAAAGCGCGGACTTGGGGCTGGCATACTGTCAAGTTGTAAGTCTTGCTGAGGTCAGGAAAGGGTTTGCATAAGGAACAACTGTGGGAGAGTCCAAAGGGGGCACCTCGGCCGGCTCTTTATACTTGAATGGGACGCAACTCGGGGACAAACTACACAACACGGCAGCCTCCCTGCACGCGCGTGCTACACTTGTTGTCATCCCTTGCCCATGCAAGCTAGCATGGTTCAAAGAAGGCACTGCCGTACGGCCGGGCTCGAGCCACGCATGGCGAGGTTGGCAGATATGTTCCCGACCCGCCGATACGTTCAACACCCCTCCCGAAATGGTACCCGTCCTTTCCCAAGTTGTTATTAGCCTTACTGACTAAATTCTTAAGAAGTCTCTGGAGCAATCAACACGCTGGCTTGCACCAGGATACGCCCTCTGTGGTTGGGTCTGTTCTATGCACTTCTGGTCATCTGCCTCTGATCCAAGCGTACCGAAAGAGATGGCGTCGCGAGCGATGCGCCCAATCAGGGTTAGCGTACGTTCACAGGCAGCATGCCCTCAGGGGTGCAGATGCACGCCAGAATTGTTATTTTCTTTCGCAGCTCATCGCTGTGCCATAATTGCCTTACCCCTTGTGTGGCATCCTTGTCAGCTGAATCCGAGGTTTAAGCGGCTGCGGTCGACGTGACAACTTACGAATCTCTCGAAGAGCGAACAATGGCTGGACAGCCAATCAATGACAATCCGCTCAATCGCGTGCGACATTGACTGCTGTACGCGTACTGAAAGGCAGGGTCGCGCGCCGATGGCTCCAGCACCCAGGCGGTGTCCTGTTTGCGTCAAGGTTTTGTATCAAAGTGCGACCTTTTGAAAGCTTATTAGAAGCCCACACAATGAGATTTGTGGCAAATGAAACCTCGATCCCCGTGCTTTGGTTCAGCAATTGCGAAATCTGCCTGCGCCTGATAACACTGCTGTCGCCAGTGTTCTTGGGGGTCCGATTTACGATGCGCGCCTACCTGGGCAACCTTTCCGAGGTCCCTTCGTGGAAATGAGCGACTTCCACGCTTCGTTATGGAACGGCCATGGCTTTGACAACGTCGGCCGCTTACCCCACGAGCTCAAGACTCTTGCCGAATTTCACAAGTCACAGTCTTTCCGCTCTGTTCTATCGCATGGGGATCTAAGCAGTTTAAACATACTGGTTCGTGGAGATGAAGTTGTGGGAATAATTGACTGGGAGACAGCAGGTTCCCCCAGTACTGGCGTCGTGAAGTGGATAACTTTTTGTCACCAAATCCTCATCCCAAGGTGTTTCATAAGGCCTCGGCCGAACTCAAGCCCCCGTCCTTGTATACAGCGCCAATAGTGGCCTCGACAGTGTCCGCCTTCGTGCGAGCAGAGACCACGCCTTGTCGCGATATGTTGCCGTTAATGCAGCAAGTTAGTCGGATGTTATCGCAAATATAATCATACGGCACACGTTGTTCAGATGTCCAGGTACGCTTGTTCCCATGTTCCTGCGTGGACCCCATAATTGCTGACAATTCTGAGCCGCAAGGTCTTTTCGACTCAGCTTCAGATCTAGCACAGAGACCCGAATCTTGTTTCCCAAGCTACGTTCGGCTGTCTTAGGCTTTGAAAATTCTTTTTGTCAGGCCAGAAATAATGAAGTTTCACGGCAGTGGCTTTCCCACTTTCCATCGCGGTGAAGGCGTGTACGGTGGGATCAATGACCCTCTGCTGACTATCTCCTTTACGCTCCCTTCTTCGGCCTCGAGAATTCTAGTGCTCTCAATAGCATCTCGACCCTGGAATACTTCCTTCTGGGGATGTGTACGTGTCATGACAGCTTGGACATAGCCAACGAAGACATGCGTATCAGCCTCGTGTATATTGTTATGCCTATTGGTGCCTAGTGCGGCGAAATCACATGATTGTAGCAAGTATAAAGCCAGGCATTCCCGCTCCAGGTTCACTCCTCTCTTCTACCTCTTAGCACGAACCAAGATACCAGCTGCTCATTTGTTTTCACTTATCATTCGCTACAATGTCGTTCCAAGATACTGCCTCGACCATGCTCATCTGCCCCAAAGACCTATCCTCCGATTCAATGACCCGATCGAGAAAACGGTCACCTTCCACGGGATCACTCACTGAGAAGGTTTGTTCCCTACCTAGACCTAAGACACAATACTAACGTCGATGACTAGGAAAACAAAAGACCGAAAGTCCTCGACCCCCTCGAGTATGGAGAGACATCTGCCAACAACGGTGATGATACATATTGCAGTTGTAAGAGCGAAAGCGATATTAACGCAGAACTTACGATTTCTTTCGCTCAAACCACGGAAAATGATCACTCTGTGGCGGCCAATCCGGCGGAGGAGGCGGACCTGCTGAACTCTGAGCGGGTCGTCACCAACTTCTTCATTCGCTACTCCTACACTGGTCACATCAAAGTTTTGAACCTGGACAACTTCCTAAGGATGCGTTTCGCGGCCTTGCTGGCTGCTGTTCCGTATGCAACTCCCGGAGACTACGCATGGCGTAGTGTGACGCATATCTATATCAGTCTGACTACAGATGACGGTGTACTGTTAACCGAATCTCTGCCATTTCCCTTCACACTCAGTATATTTACTGAGTTCAAAGAAATACAGTCCCAAATAGCTACTTGCGTGGAGAAAGAGATGTCAAGTTTGGAGATCGGGCAAAAGCTGGTTATCTCCACCACGATTGGTCTTTGGCATGATCTTTCGAATATCTCTCAGCGGAGTGAGGGCCCCTTGTAGAGTCAGTCTCTACCCAATGACATTCTTTTTTCGCAATACTACGCCATGTTTCTTCAGGCTCATATAATACAAGATTCCATCGGGTGTGAAAAACGGAGCAGGACGGACAGGCACGGGACAGGGAGTAGTAGCCACAGGTGAACAAACATCCAGCCACGCACCAAGCTGCCCGCCCGCCACTGGTGGGCGCCACAGGTGCCGCCGCCGCCACAACCCTGCCACAACACTGCCACGTCAACCGACTGACTGTTTGTGGATAAATAGCACGATACGTTCCCACTACCTTGAATCCGACATGAGCCAAGAGCCCTGGCCTCAGGGTCCTCTGATGATACCACCGAGAATAGTAGGTACCGACTTTATCCAACCTCACCGATAATAATGGAGGCTGGTCACGCGCGATTCTTGATATCAGCGGTCTCAGCAGAGCTCTGGAAGAACACCATCAGGCACTAGTTTGGGCGACTTCTTGTCTGCGCTCAACGGGTACTGCACATACTGAGTGAGGTACGTACTCGGCCCAACACGTGACTCTAGACGTCGGCCTGCATCATCTCGGGAGGGCTGTCAGTTTTCCTCTTCGCAGCACCTATTCTACTGCAATCATTGCCCACGTTCTGGGCTCAAAGAGTGAACGTCGTTTCTACCCACGGCTGCCCTCCGCAACGTTAGCAGCTGTCCGATGGAATCGCCCGCGACGCCCACAAGACGCAGGCCAGCCCGCCCTCACCTACGCCGATGACGCTCGCTTTGCTCGCGTGCATCCCACGTGCCAGCTTGCGCGCTCGGTACTGCTGGCGCTCCCACTGCGCCAAGGCGGCGCAGCGCCGTGGCGTCGCGTATCAGTCAGGTCAGCCTTGGGCTGAAGTGCACGTACTTGTGTAATTACACCAGCGCGCCTCTTCGGGCTCATTTTCATTAAATACGGTTCTTTTACTTGCACAGCGCGGCTTGATCATGTCTCCCTGTCATCGCTCCCTCTGTGCACATCATGGACGCAGCTGCTACTGACACCGATGCCACCCAACTTCACCAACTCACGTACAAGCGTGCCCAGTTTGTCACCTGCCCAGCCTGTCGCCATGGCGGCACCACCGTTCTAGTAAAGGAACGACTCCCTGCATGGCGGTGAGTCTGCGGAGCACTGGCTGCCCAAGATGACAAGCGCAAGCTGACCGCAGTAGGTATGCAGTGGAAGCTAGCGTTAACCTCGTCTTCGCGAGCCTCACCATGGGGATTATGTTATACTTCCTACCGCTAATATTCAGACCCCAGTTCGTCACCCACTCCTGTCGTCGCTGCGGCCTACGCCTCGCCATCGCTACAGCCGCCCATGGCGAGTCTCAGTTTACTATACCTATGGACGTCGAGGACGATTGTTTTATCCCGGCGCCTGAAGACTGGCGACCCGACCTTGCCCGGTTACCTAGTGGTATGCGCGTTGCTAGGTCGCCGTTAGGACCGCGTCCCGAGATATCCGAGCGCGAGATGAAAGTCTGCAACACGCGTTTTCTCACGTGCCATCCGCGCGCGCAGTTCACGCTCCTAGCCGGCAACACGTTGGGCAGACCCATTCGTTGCATGCGGGCGGGTGCCAACAACGCCGGCGGCCGCCGGTCTGAGCAGCCATCTTCGAGCACCAGCCATGGCCATGCGGAGGTGCTCTATGAAATCCACTCCGGCGGCATCAACACCCCCGTCACGGTCATGATGCGCCCGCCACCAGAGAACTCCGTCACGGAGGAGTTGCCCTCGTATACGAAACAGCTGAGGGGTACCGATAAGCAGACACCTGCGAAGCAACAAGAACCAGCGGGAGCAGCACAGGCAAGCGCACAAGCGCCCCAGCCCTTCACTCAAGCATGTCGCATCTTCTTTTACTCAGGCGACGACCGCAAATACTCCTCCGCCATGTACCTTCCGCCCCAGTCGACCTCCGGTAGTGAGACTGCCTATGTCAACGCTGTCCCGGCCGACCAACGCATGCAGTTCTCAGCCTATATGCCTGTTTGGCGGTGGCGGTCGTCCCGGGGCGGCCTTCTCTGGGTATATCGCCGTTTCCGAGACGCCAATATGGCGGCGCTCAAGACGAGACTCTGCCTCGTCGACGATTATGGCCGGGTTGTGGCGGTCTTGGATAACTGGAACGGGTTGCGCTTTTTGTCAGTGATGGCTGACCAGTTTGGCGGTGGCGGCGACGGCTTAGGTCGCCAGAGTGTCCTCACGCTATATGCGGATCTTGGCGCGGCGCTGCTGGGAGAAGTGCTGGGGAGTCTGTGTGCTCTGGCGTTACAGATATGGCGTGTCACCGCCGAGCTCAACAAGGAGAAGGATGAGAATAGGGGGGATTGTTATTCTTGACGCACGGAGATTCAAAACCCATCAAAGCACCAACACAAATCCACCCTGTGCCACCTGCCTGCCTCCGCCGTGTCTAACCGAGGGGGGGCAGGGTGTGGGCATTCGCTGTAGGAGTTCCTCTCAGTTGTCGAGTGACACGACCTCCTGTGGAAAGATCCTTCTCTAACTGTTACACCTGGTACCGGCAGTCCAAACGGGATTGATACACGGGTGTACAAAGAAGTTACTTACAAATACGTAATATGTGGATGGAAAAAGTATCTGGAATGATTGAAACCGAGCCCCAATTTGATATCTGGCGGATACCTCCGGCGTACGCCAGATCAGAGCATTCGTTATACGCATCAGCACCACTATCAACCTCAGCTGATCGAACAACGGAACCGAATAGTGGCGAACATTTCGAAGCGGCGGAGTCCCGGGGATACTCTCCACCAGCGCCTTCATATTGCAAGGGATTGTACCACCCAACGCTTCACCTTTATCTTCGCGTTCTACTGGACGCATGGAATCACTCGCGTCTGCGCAGGAACGACGAGCCGCCAATGTGGGCGGGGCAATTCCCAATCTTTTCGGGGAAGACCGGGCCCATCTTGTCTCGAGTATCAAGTTCGAATTGTTGATTCGACAGCAGCCTATGGCAGCGGGAGCTTGTGGCGCCGGCGAGAGAGATCGACGAGACATTGATCCGCCACCGGTGTTGCAACTGCATGTCCTAAGCGACGCGCTGTCCCAGGAGGAAATCAGAAGTATCTGTGCTATGAGCCCTACGTGATGACCACAGAGATCTACGACAAGACAGGGACTGTCGAGTGCGTCAAGATGCCTGCCGAGTTCAAGTATCAACGTCGCATGACCGGCTCTCTCGTCGGCGACCCGTTCTTTGGTAAGGATGAGTCCGGCCGTGAAGGCACCTTCTTCCACTTTGGCAACTCTCCGTCCGCAGCCTGGGCATGTATACCCTCCGGTTCAACCTGTATATTGAACCCCAAGGCCCGCGACGACGCGCGGCCAAACTGGCGGAAATCACCAGCGCGCCATTCCAGAGCTACGCCGCTAAAGAACTTCCGGACATACAGCCAAGCTCCCAACTTGTAAGGGTACTGAAGGGACAAGGGTGCATCATCTCGATCAAGAAGAGGCCCTTTAGGGACAGCTTGGAGCCCAAGGACGGCGAGGATTATGATGTCAATGCGTCCAGCGTTCACAGCAGACAGAGATAATTCCCTTCTAGGCACACCACGCGTGCTCGCAGCCATCAAACGTACCACGTTGTTTTCCTGATATTTCAAACTCAAGATCTTCTAGTTCCTCTTTTTTCCTCTGAGGTGATGAGGAACGATGTTGTGTAGTGGGTATTGCAGCAAGAAATGATTATTCGAATAGTACCCACGAGCATCTGTTATGGCAACGGACACGCCACACGCAATAAGATACTATAGAACACCTCTCTACTCAGGAATTTTCTTTCGATACGTCCTCTTCTTCCAAATTCGGGCACGGCCAAGCCCTCCGGGGCGAACACTCTGAAAGAGACCTCTCAGCTTTGTGATGAGCTCGTGTATGAGGTAAATAGGCAGTGGCAAGCGGGAATACTCCCTGATACGGCTTTCTCCCGGCATAAGAGTAAGAAATGGTAAGAGTTACTGGCGACCTCACATTTGTAGTTAATGCCTTATGATGGTCTAGTGGGTTTAATGTTTGATTTTGATAAACCAGCCTTGAGTGTCGGATCTCACGAAGATTGAGAGCAAGGTGGCATCCTTCGGCTTCACCAGATTCCGACTTGGACCCCCTCGATGTGGAAGTGCCAGAGAGAGGAGAGAGTGGACGTTGAGCTAATGGAATGAGCCCGTTGCCGCTACTGAAGGTGTTTCGAGTTCTCACCAACCGTGGTGGCACAGCTGGTCACATGGGCCACGTACGAAAATACCTCCTGTCCCCCAGGCCCTCTTCGGTCAGAGTTGCTCTCGGCTAGCAGAAGGTCGGGGGGTTCCCCTAGTCCAAGGGCCGCCGGATTGCCTACTGGGTCCGTATCTCAGCAACAGACCTATCAGTGCACTAAGATGGTGGCCACTACGGTCTCGGTCTCGGTCCGTCAGTTTGAGCTTGGTCTGTTGAGCTCCATGGCCCCAACATGTATGGCCAGCCAGGGCCTCTCAGGAACTTATCTCACGACTAGTCGACGGACAGCCGCAGCTCTGGCAGGAAATCCGTCCAGTTCGTTGCTGTTCGTCACTTGAGTTGCAACCAGCGCAGGCAGATATAAGAACGGGCGCCCCGCGCCGCCGCCGCATTCCCTTCTCCTCCGCCGTTAAGGAGAGGATCCCGCCAAAACCTGGTCTCGTCTACCTGCCATATCCCACAATCCTTCTTTTTCTCCCCCGGGCTCATTTTCCTATCACTTTCACCTCACCCTTGCGCGTTATCTTCTCGTATGCCCGAGTCCTGGGTCCTGTCCTGGCCTATCCCTTCCTGTCCTGTCCCTTCCTTGTCCTATGCGTTTCCTCCTATCACCAGATCCTGTCTGCCATTTTCATCCAGCACTCAGCGCATATCAGAAGACGAGATACTGGCGATACATTCAGAACAGGGGGCTTTACAAGCAGGCTTAGGCCTTGTCTGACGTAGCATGGCCGACGATCGCCATCTTAACGACTATCCTCAACACCGACCAAAAGGTCGCTACCCGCCGCCTTCGCAGTATCCGCCGCCCCCAGACGCCATTTACCGTACAGAAGATGACAAAGGACATGCCGGAATGGCTGCTACTTCTGTATCTTTGCCCTCAATGCACTATCCTCGAGCGCTATCCTACGGGCCGCCGCCGCCTGGCAGTCTCGGATATCCATCTGATCACCGATATGCCTCGCCCAGTGCGGTAAATGGTTATCCCCCACCTCCTCCGCCACCTGGTCAACAGCCACCTAGCAGCTATCTATCCCCTCCTCAGCAACATCTCGATCCTCATGGGGGGCAGGGGTATCGATCTCCTGACCCCTACCCACCAAGCCGTCAGCAGCCTGGTCCATATGCGCAAGAACCTCAGTACAGGCATGCGGATCCCTACTACTACCAACAGAAGCCCCAAGGGCCCCCAGGCCCGCCGTCAGCCTACTACCACCAGAGGCCCTATGCCCAAGAATTCGGACCGCCTCGAGGTGGACCGCAGGTGCCACAGGCAGCTCCCCGTCAGAGAACGTCCATCGCGTGTAAATACTGTCGCAAGCGCAAGGTTAGTTGCTAGTTCGGGGGGTATGCAGAGTTTTCTGATGCTGACATGATCTACAGATCCGCTGCAGCGGTTATCACAATGCGGGCAAATGTCAAAACTGCGCGCGCATTAACCAAGAGTGCGTCTTTCAGCCGGTCTCTTCAACCAACGGCGCCGCATTCATCCCCGTCTCTGCAGTTCCCGGCGGTGTTCTACCTGGAACCCCCCTTTTTGGAGCATACGGACAGCCGCTGGCGCCTCAGCAGGGTTTTCTCCATTCTCCGCAGGGAGGAAACCCCGGACAACAGCAGTCACCGCCGTCGCAGGATGGCCAGCATCCTCAGGCTCAACATCCACAGCAGCCGCCACCATCTCATGGGGGCTACTACGCCCAGCAGCAACCACCGCCGCCGCATCATCAACAGCACGCGCACCCACGCGCGCACACGTATCAGCCTCAGTATCCGCCCCCGCCACATCACAGCGAGGCCCCTGGCACTGGCCCTGGACCCGGATCAGGACCAGGCCGACTCGGTCAGTCACCTGTCGAATCGTCGTACCCGTGTTCAAAGCCCGAGGATAGCTCACAGAGCGGCCGCCGTCGTCGCAGGTCCGAAGAGGATGCAGATGCGTACAGACCACCACCACCTCGTGTGGGCGCTACCGAGAATGAGCCCAGACGTCGCTCCCCCGCTGAGTTCTCGAATAAAAGCAGCCCTAGCGGGTTGCCTATGCGATCATTCTCGACGCACAGTCCGCGCAACCCGGCCCTGCCTCCTCAAGTCAAGACGTGGAGCCAACACAGCGACCGCTCCCCAGGGCAGGCGAAGATGACGCAGAGTGGAGCGTCTACACTTGCTCGCCAGGTACCAGCTTCCACTGCGACGCCTACCAACCAACCAGCGCAGTTTCAAGGACAACCTGGACAGCAAGGTCAACAACAGCAAGGTGGACAACAGGGAGCTCCGGTCATGAGCCTGAGCAACTTGGTCGACAAAAACGACATTGATAGAGGCATGATTGACAGATTGAATCGACCACGCAATCTTGGAGCTCCTGGGAAATAATGGAATCGATGTAGAGCAGCAGACCCTCGTAGGGGATGGACACTGCCGGCTAGCGTCAGGAACACGACAATGCCCCAGACGGGCTGATTCAGCGATTCTCGGTGACAAAAATGACGACGGATTGAGTTGATGCGACAGATGGATGGCAGGTGAATTGGATGACCGCTGGCTGCCGAAAGTCGGGCAGTGTCAAAAGGAGCTTCCAATTAATAACTTCTGTCTCGACGATGCGAATGTCAGGGGCTGCTTTTACTTGTGTCGGCCTGCATTTTAGTTTCTCATTGGGGCCTACTTGACAGCTATTTCACAGTTTTGTTTCGGATTCGAGGAAGATCTGGAGCAATATCGGAAAAAGGCATTGGTTATGTACAGTATTCTTAAACACCTCAGCTTCTTTCAATATGCTTTCCTCCAATCGTACCAGCTTGATAGGTCCAAGCCGTGGCTCGTACTTCAGCATGGGACTAATGTTGGCTTTGAATTGCCATATCTGGATGCCACAGCGAGATGGTTGACGGCGTGCATGCAATGGCCTGTGGGCTTGTAGGTACACACCAGGGGATCCAGCCAGGTTTGGCGGACCTGGGTGAAAGCCGAGCGACGATGTGATGGTATGGTGAGGCCAGCAATGGTAGCAAGGTCGGGCAGATCTTTCGTAGTGCTGTTATTGTGTGACGTTCGGGTCGGACTAACTACTCAGACTAACTACAGTGTAGGGTAGATCTGAGGTCGGTTTATTGCTGCGTGGCGGCATTTGAAAATTGCGTACCTTGGAAAGTGTGGCGTCGCTTATATGCGGGGTTCGTTGGCAGCCGCTCTACCTTATATCCCACCGTATCGGTAGTCATTGGCTTCTCACGATGGCGGGCATGGGATTCGCAGGGTAGGTAGAATTGAAGGGATTAACTTCGCTCGGCTCGATGCGCCCACGTCACTTCCATTATTGCCTTCCTGATGCCAGAGACAGATCACTCATTGACGCGAATAAGTACACCTTCCGAAAAACCTGTAAAATTTCGCAGAGAAGCGAAATCGTGATATTGGTCCCGCCCAGGGCGTGCGCTAGTTCTTATTCGCCGTCGACGACTGACCGATCCAGGATTCTCTTCTTTCTTTCTCAAGCACCACCCAAGACTAAAAGACTCTGAATTTTGATTCCTCCAAAGCCTAGGCGGCGCAATAGGTCTCGGCCATGATGAAACGGGAACTTGGCCACGACCATGCCGTCGACATCCTCCGCATCGACTCCAGCTTTGCGCAAGAGCTGTAACACCGCAAAAAGCGTATTTCCACTGGTAAGAACATCATCGACCACCACCACTGACGCGCCTCTGCAGACCACATCACGTTCCATCTCAATCCGCTTCTCTCTTACTTTTCTGGATGACGAGATATGCGATGAGTACTTGGTGACAGAAAAAGTGGGTGGGGGAAGCTTGCCGGCTTCGCGAATCAGCGCCAGTAGCACACCGACGTGCGCAGCCAACGCCGAGGCGTAGACAAGGCCGCCGATCTCACTGCAGTCCGTCGAGGACGTGGCGGTAGTCAACGCCCGTACGGGGAAGTTGGGCACCGGGCGAACCGTACAACACCCCATCATTCTCGCTGCGAATTTGACAGGGGATCTCGCAGGATATCAAGTTGAGGCTTGGATCCGTCACTGCCCCTGTTCTTGCAGTTGGCAGTTGCGTGAGGGCTCCCCCACGGGCCAGGCCACCCATGACCGGCGACCTCGCTGTGTGGCAGCCACGGTCCGAGAGGGTGATGGCTCAGCCAGCCTGTGGCTTGGCGGCCGACTTTGCCAAGCACACTGCGACTTCCGCCAGGACTAGAGTTGAGAGTGTGTGATGGCTCCGCCATCGCGGTGGACACCTGCCTGGGGTATTCTTGTCGTGTGGCAGCCATCACAGAGGACGAGAGTCGAGAGGGTGTCATGGTCCCGCCAACACTGTGGATACTTTCTGGGGGATCCTTGTCGTGTGGCAGACAGTGGAAGACCCCGCCACTGCTGTGGGCACCGTGGAAGACTGGAGTTGAGAGGGTGTGGTGGCTCCGCCATCGCCATGCACATTTGCCTGGGGGCTCCCGCTTTGGGCCATTCGTGATCGACGACTTGCCGTGTGGCTCCCACACATCACCCGAGCAGCTTAACATCAAAAGCTGGAGTGGCTGCATTCTGGCCCTGTCGATCAGACTACTCTGAGTCTGGTGAGAGCTTCCCAGCAGTAGGGGTCGCGTAGAATGCGCTCGCTTGGCCCATCATATACGGATGCACCCATCTGAGCGAGAGCCGCGTGGTAGAGGCCCGGAACAGCCCGGAATGTCCGACATGGCAGATAGATAGCGATAGCGATAGCGCACGACGACGAAGATCAGCGTCGCCGAGTCCCACGGCGAGGCTTAACCAGGGGATCAGCGCCTGCAAGGGGATGCGTCTATCAAGACATGGTTATGGTGAAGCTAGCGGGACCCCAGTCTACGGAACTGTCTGCTAGTGTTAAGAGAAACGATCAGTATAGTCCTTTGCTATACTCTCAAAATTCCCCACATGCTCGCGGCCTGCTAACTTAGAGCCCCATTTTCGACCATTTGCTGCCAGGAGATCAAGGTTGCCCACGCTCGCCACCCAATAGTGGCCGCCGCTGGCTACGAGGCAGACAGACAGGATGGGTAAGAAGGGCGTGCCAGCTCTGGCGAATCGCCCCGCCTCATCATTCGGGGGTGTCGAAGAATGGGCAGCATCCCTACTCAATCTGGTCATGCATAATATACCATCTTCGGCCTTTGTGGCCAGTTGGATTTGGAACTAGGCGAAGGGGTGTGTGCCTTGGGCAGTCAGCGCACCCCACACACGTGCTCCGCCTGCCTGGGATACTACGCCACGGCCGGACTTGGCCACGGCGTCCTGAGTCAAGGAGACCTGGGTTCGATCTGGCTGCCGATCTGGCACAGAGGGAGCCTTTGGAAAAGTAACTAGGTCGCTAGCGGCGTCGTCAAGCCGACTCAAATTAAGCTTTTGGCTCGTGTGGCACGATTGGTGCGAACGGGAAGGTCGCCCTGTGGACAAAGCTTGGCAAGCCGAACGCTCGATCAGATACCTGCAGCGCTAGCGCACCCGCCTTGATCTAGTACGGAGAACCAATGGCCCACACGCGTGTGTGCAAGCAACGAAGCTCAACAAGGGCCTCATGCAGCCTCCACACCCTCACAGAATTGGTGGCTGCCACACGGCGGGTTAACAGTCAGTTGTGGCTGCGCACGGCAAGATCCTCCCACGGGCGATTACCCACAGCGATGGCGGAGCCATCACATCTCGTTTCTGGTCTTCTGTGGTGGTCAACTATGGCTGCCACGCTGGAAGGTCATCAATCATGGGTGTTCTGCCCCGAACAGGAGCACCCAGGTAAGCCCGTCATACCTACTCAGATCTAAGGGGTAGCCTTTTCTCATCATCCACTGTGGCTGCGTCACTGGACGCTTGGCGGTACCACTCGGCGCAATCGGCGATCAATGTGTGGTACAGGAGGGTTTTCTTTGAGAGTGGGGAATATAGCGACACGCGGCACTTCGACGAGATACCAGCAGTGGTCCCTATCGAGGCCCATCCCCTCACCGCTTTCACTTTATACTGACCGCCTTGCTTGTTTCAATGGGCCTCCCCTCTTTGATTAAATATATCCACAACCTACTTATTCACCGCCTACTATTTTGAGGCGCCGTATGCGCCTCCCTCACTGGAGATTTTCACCGCCTGCCTGATACTCTTAGGGTGGCTGCGGTCTTCCCTGCTTGTAAAACATTCAGCGAGTGACGCGCTGAATGCATCCTACAGGTCAGGCTATCAGCCAAGCATCACGAGTGAATCTCCCTTTCGGTCAGTCAAATCTGGCACAGCAGGCCAGTTTCGAAGGCAAATGTTAGGGACAAATCCTGGGACGTAGGGCAAAACAATTGGCTACAAGAAAAATTCCTATCACATGAATGGCGACAGTCCTATTTGTGATTCTTGTCTTCCGAGTTTAGCTTCTCTGCGAGGAGAGGTGCGTTCAACCTGTGGCGGCCTGGTTGGTTGCATGAGGAAGGATACCATCTGGCTCGGGCATGGATTGCATGGGAACTCGATCGTTCTTTCTCAACAGTATCCCTAGTAATTGGGTTATAATAGACATGATCGCATTTCCAATTTCAGGAGAATCACCGATAATGAATCATCAACCTATTCAGCTCAGTCAGGTCCAGTCAATCCCGTGCTTCTGTTCATGATTGATTGGGCATGAGGGCAGGCGGTGACCAAGAGGGCAGGCGGTGACCAAGAGGGCAGGCGGTGACCAAGAGGGCAGGCGGTGACCAAGAGAGCAGGCGGTGTCAAAGAGGGTAGGCGGTGACCAAGAGGGCAGGCGGTGTCAAAGAGGACGTGAAATGCCCACCGGGACCAGACTGCCAGTGCTGTTCCGCCATTTCATCATGCTTGAATCAGGTCCGCAGAGTACTCAGCCATTCATCATCAACAGACCAGCAATTCAGTCAGGCCACTACCATTTATGATCTGCGAACAACGCAGTTCATTTCACCAAGTTACAGACTTACGAAAGGTCTAGAGCCTTCTTAACGGTTTTTGCTTAGCATATTCTATCCTGCCTCTGCGACAATCAAGCCGACAAACAATTACGGAACTGAGTGACTCTTGGTAACGTGGGGTTTCATTTTCATTTAGCATTTAGGTCGCTATGAGATAACAGGGACCTGCAGACATCAGACCACCTTTCGGCCTTTACTTTGAGTACTGAGCACGAACTGTAGGGCATCAACGCACCGCATCTTCTCAGCAGCGCTTTTGCATGCTTGGACTAAATGCGCCGATTGCAGTATGCCATACAAATCGACATATGTTCGTATTGAGTCAGGATACAGTACCATGAATACGCAAGGCATGGTTCTGTAGATGCATCTTGTGTTTCAAACGCAGCCTACAGACCGGACATTGAATCGTAACATCGTCCCGGAAATTCCCAAGGTGGCGCCGGCGGAAATGCTTGGTCAAGTCGCTTGGACCATGGAACTCATGAATGAGTTCCGGGATTCGAGGGTCTTCAAGTGGTAAGAAGCGAGCCTTCCCAACACACCAAAAGCAGCGAGTTGGTCGCTGCTTCGAGTCTGAAACGAAAACAGAAAGCGTGGCAAGCTCCAACGCGCTGTGCGCTGCGGTATCTTGGGCCGGTGATTTTTTCGCTGCACCGCCGTTGCGTACTCGAGAGACAGGCCCCTCCTCCACAGTGCAGTATGCGATCAGAGCATGAATCGCTCTGTTCCTCCGTCTGTACTGGCCCTCAAGAGTAGGCTGTACTTCAGCTGTAAGCGCTTCCATCATTCTCTTTTGTGCAGGATGTTGAGGTTGAGTCGAAATGTCCTCTGGCACAGGAGCAAACCCTTCACCACGAAGTTGGCGTTCGATGTCCTCAACCGCCTGTTTATCGGTCCACCCTTCTCGAACATCCTGCAGCATAGCATTTGTCTTCCTCTGCTTTGCGTTGCGTAATTTTCGATGCGTATTTTTGTACAGTTCAGATCGTGGCTGCATCCTCTGTAGCCGGCGTCGCATCTTCACAATCTCTGGATCGTTCTCTATAGTTGAAACTTGCTCCGCTGTCAGCTTGGTAGGCCGGCGTTGACTTGTCGAATGCGCGATGCTGCACGACTGTGTGACAAGTGCTTGGTTAGGGTTTTCTCCGAGAACAATGGCAAATGTGTCGGCACATATTTCACGAGAAAGATAGTGTCTCTGGAATGGCACCGAATTGGTGTGGCCGAGAGACAAGTTGCGAAGTGAATCGCTAATGTTAGCTTTGAAAGTCAATTAGTGTCATTAGTAATATAAGGAAGGGGAAACCATACGGCTTTGATCGAGTTTGTTGCCTGTGAGGTAGCGCAGTGAGTACATGATCACATTGCATTCGATGCCCTGTATTTTTCCAAGGGCCACGATCCACGCTCGCATCATGGAATAGGTGATAGGTTTGTTTGCTGAAGTCGCGTAGCCATCTGGTGTCTTAGTAGCTTGGCGAAAAATGAAGACGTCGTCCAGCTCCCGTTTGAGAGGTAGTGGTAACTCATCCTCCTTGGGGTGAATGGTTAGCTGCTCAATGCCTTCCGGTTGGGTAAGACTTGGTGCTCGGAACGCTTCACAACGAAACAAGATTGCAAGTAAAAAGACATGTGTGCTGAGGAACAATGATCGATGGAAAATACCCTCGGGAACGGTGAAAGTGCATCTGTGATACTGTAAGCGTAGATGCGACCATAAGAACATCAGACTTACGACTCCTTGGCCCCTAGGTACGTTTTTGTGAATTCCGGGGTGAACTTTACTATGAGGTTATGGGGCCCTCCTTCCGGATCTCTTGCGAGAGTGACTTTGATATCCCCAAATCTGAGAAAAAGAATTGATGCCGGTCGAGAGCCCCCAGGGGCGAGGAGGAGAAGAAATAAGACGGCAAGGATGCGGAGCTGGCCAAGTTCGAATCGCTTTTTTGTCGTGCTCAGCGTGGTCTCGATCTGGGCTTTCAGGGTTTCGACGGTCATAAAACGGTTCCTTCTCCTCGTGGTTCGCAAATCGTATTTCTCCGTAAGTCGTTGCAGAACCTGCGAAGATTTAACGCACGAATATACGCTCCATTGCTAGGATGACATACCTCTGATATACCTTCGTAGATGCATGGCTTAAAGTTCTGTCCCGTCGCCACTTTGTACACAATTGACAAGAGCTTCCACCGTGTCTGAAGAGAGCCGCTCGTCTTTGTACCTCTTTTTAGTCTCCCATTTTTGCCAAGTTTTTGGCATATCGTCCATTCAAGGAAGTTTTCCACGATAGGGATGGAAATGGAATGGAAGGGATTTTCAGACTTCAGGACCTGGTCGTTGAATCTGCCAAGGAACGCTGTTAGGCCAACAAGGAAGAGGAATAATAAGAGATACGCACTGCTCCCACATAGCTTCAACCTCTCTAAGACGTAGTCTTGTTTTCTTGGCATAACGTTGGTACGTATCCCGTTGGACTGGGGTTAATATGCCTTGGCGATAGTACTCAGGTGGGTGTATATTGCCACCATGAAGTCCTTCCTCTCCATCGCCATCGAATCCGTCGTGTCCTGGATTCTCATATATGGTGTCGTCATCAGCTGAACACTCCTCTTCTTTTACGGAAAATATGGACTCCTCCTCATCGCTGAGCGAAGAAGAGAAGTTCCAGTCATCCATACTCGGGACGTTTTTGGAGGAGCTCTTGAACGGTGTGGGTTGGCTGAATGTTACGGCAAGAAAGTAGAAATGGTACGACTTGTCTTGGTATGTAGTCAATAAGACTGTGAGCGCAGTTGAAGTGCGAGCACCGTACTTTTAAGGTGAGCATGGGAGTCATTTTTGAGCGCTCAGGCAGTGGATGTGACCAGGGGTCAAGCAAGCGAAGAATTACGGTGGCACCTATCGATTACGGTGGCACCTATCGATGCGGGTTGCAAATGCTGCAAATGACCGAAACCCCGCACCTTCGCGACAAGCCTCGGACACCGCAAATTCAACTACCTTCGCATAATGCCTTCATCTATTGATTTACTGCCATTTGAGGAGGAAATAACCCGATTGGTATTGCAAGGAGAGACCCACGCATATATCCTCCAAGCTGTGAATACTCATCTTGCCGGGTTGTCGAGTAATCCCATCAGCATTCGCACCCTTCGTGCTAGACTGTCTGATTGGGGTCTAACCGGACCACCGGCCAGCGAATTCTTCTTGGCTTATAAGGAAGATATCGAAGAACTTGCGGTTAACGATAATGTCACGAGGCAGTAGATCTTGGCTATTGCTAATGGATGGCGTGTGGACCAACGACAAGCCCCTATCCGTATAAGGACGCTGGACTCGCTCCTACACGACTGGGGCTTAGACCGGCCACAGGCAGGCATTCAAATCACCGATCACTTGATCGAAAGAGTGAAGTTCTACTTCTTTAATTACGGGATGAGCGATAGAGTCATCGTACAGTGCCTCCAAGATCGGGATGGTTATCCAGGTATGACTCTATGGACTGTGGTCAAGGTCCGGCGCGCCAACGGTATGAAGAAGAAGCTTCGATCCGTGGAAGAAAGGACAGCTGCCTTACAGCAAGCTATCGCATTCATTAAGCGGGATCTCGGGGAGGGATCATTGCGTGTTCTTGGGTACGGATAAGGCATGCTATACCATCACATCCGCCAGCGAGCCGAAGTTATTGTCTCGCAGAATCGCTTATATGACTTTTATCGCGAAGTCTTCCCTAACCAGGTTAGGAAGAGGCTTAAAGGCAATTATAAGACTAGAGTTAACTTCTCCGTGCCCGGGAAGAACTTTATGTGGGCTCTTGATGGCCACGATAAGCTCAAAAGATTCGGCCTCCAGATATACGCATGTATCGATGTATACTCCCGATGTATTATATGGTTCTATGTTGGCAGATCATCGACTACAGCCTTGAGCACCCTCAAGCAATATCTCCGCACGGTCCGAAGTATGAAGGTTCGGCCCTTATTCACGCGGTCTGACTACGGCGGCGAGACTATCTTATGGGCTGCTGCCCATATGGCTTTAGCCGCAAGCGACCAACACGCATCAAATATCGAATTCTCTGATGGCAGCACACGGAGGTTCCAGCAAGGCCGTAGTCTCGAAAGCTGTCATTTATACGGCCCAAGCACGAGGAATATACGTATTGAGAGTTGGTGGCTACAGCTACGACTACGCACCCTCTAACGCTGGATCTCCTACTTCAACGACCTCGCAGCAACTGGATAGTTCACCGAACATGACGAATATAGCTAGGACGAGGATCATATATGTGACCAGATCGCATTATATGCTGTTTACGGTGGCATGATTCGCGATGAATTAGCTGACTTTATCCAGCTATGGAATAGGCATAAGATCCGGCATCAAAAGAACAGAGAGCACGTTATCACGGGTATCCCAGCGGAGTTATATTATTCGAGGGACGTTCCAGACCATGGCGTGCCTCTACAAGAGGCCAGCGAGCTAATTGTCGAGCAAATGCTCTACCAATTAGCATCTATCGACATCGATACATTACTATCAGAAGAGGTGGAAGCTTGGTGCGAAGCTCGACTCGCCGACTGTGGCTTTATTAGGGGCGAGACGCCCTTTGGCGATCCGAATCGCCTATTCGAGGAATATTATTAGCTATTGCGAAGGGAGGTTAAAGCCTGGCGCCAGTCAGGGCAAGAACCTCTCCTCGAGCTTATTCCTACGCCAACGGGGGCAAGCAAGCGATATCGCGATCTTCTCGATAAAGCCTATGGACTAAACGGCTCTACCACTAGTGATAGGCTGCCGCGAGACTTCATTAATTAGGTGCTTGAGGCTGATGACGATAATGTTGAACCCTATGAAGCCAATACCTATAGACCTAACTCCGAACCTAATGCTTAACAAAGTCTGTATACGTCGCTGGCGGCTGCCTGTTCCGGCGAGGTCGGCTGGCCGTTGTAGCCCTTGGCTGGCTTTCCTGACCTTTCTAGGACACAGCCGAGCGCTTCTTGCGGGTGCTTATGGTGGCGCGTTGCTGACCACTGTCGGCAACACCCATAAGGCTGTTTGGTTGCCCAGCCTCCTGCGGGGGAAGGGGCGCGACGGGCTGCGAGGCAGGTTGCGAGACAGGCTGCGAAGCAAGGGGCGCGATAGGCCGCTGCGACCTTATACAGTCGATCAATTCATCGCCCGTTAACTTAGGCGTGGCTATATCCGCCGTCCGGTTGACTGCGAATTCGAGAGCCTTATTAAGGGCCGCCCCGTCCCTGCTTTGTTCAACGCCCGTGATGTCATTCAAGGGAGGCAAATCGTCGCTAGAGGCCTCTGTGCCCTCGTCCTCGTCCACGTCCATGAGGTCGATCGTTAACGGGGCGCGCGCTGTCCCTGGCAACGGTCTTCTCGGCGTCGGCGTCGCCGCTGGCGATGAAGGCTCGATTGTCGACGAAGGGGCTGGCGATGAAGGCTCGGTTGTCGAGGCTGCACGGGAGACTGGTGGTTGCGTTCTCTTCCTGCGTTTATTAGGTGTAGGTCGAGTGGAGGCTGGTTGTCGCGCGCGGCGCTTGGTAGGCAATGGCTGCGGCGTGGCTTCTTCCTCTTGCTTAACGAACTGGCCCTCGGCAAAAAGAACAAGCTTCCCACCTTCGTAT